TCGAGATTTAGTCCAATGAAATGACTTGCAACAGGACGAACAATACCCTTCGCCCAGACGAAATTGAAGTGGTCTTTCATGAGGGTGTTCATGGTGAGAGTCGATGGGACGTCCTGTTTACAAGTAAGAGGTTCGAGCGGGTTGCAGGGCTGGTTTTGTAAGAAAGCTCGGCTATATTTCAAGAAGAAAAAAGTACAAGAGCGTCAATCAAGTCTGGTAGATTTGTTAGGGAAACCCGCCCATTTGGGGAGCGTGTCTGCAACATCGAGAATGCGGTTTCCATAGAATATATGGCTCGTGGGCTTGACCTCCTCCCAGTTGATAATCTTACCATCCTCGTCACGTTCAAGATGCGCCCCCCGAATGGCCCAATTTTGCGTGTCAGACATCTGAGAAGCGGTACAGGTGCGACATTTCGCGCATCTATACAACACACAGCCGTCTATCTTTTCCTCGATGGGCGTGACCTCGGCTTCGTGGGTCCATGAAAAGGCCGAGGGCGAATAGTGCATTGAGGAAACAAAAACAGCGCCTTGATAAAGTTAGCAGCGACCCCAGCAGAATCATGATCAATTTTCAATACCATCCGCTCTGGAACCAGTTTGAGCAAACGCTGTGTTCAATGCCAACTTTACCTTTGACATTTCGTGCAGTGGCAATAGATGCTGAATAACGGCTTTTCCTTGAGAGCAAACGAGAGCGAGCCGCAACTGCAGCTTCCTTTCATGGAAAAGGTGGACATGGTCTGAATTAAAGAGAGAGGTGCGTCTTGTTTGGTCTCGCTCCTGACGCGTTCTCTCACGCTGTCTTGGGCGTCTTCTCAATGTAATTGTTGAGATTCTGCCACTCGGACGTTCCACCAGAGATTTCGAATAACCGCAGAACCGTCACCGTGATGGCGGTGCCACGGTGTTCTCACGGTGCGGCAGCCATCACGGCCAGCAAAGTCTTGATCATGATGCGCTCTGGCGGGATGAGCCCGCCAGACTCCGCCTGCATGATCCCTATCTTGAATTCATGTACATAAGAACTTGATATAAGAATAACAATTTCTACTGTGTAAGTAATGGATGGCGGGCGGGGCGCAAAATACTCGCAATCGGCGCACGCGTGGGTTCCTTAGGTTGGGGTACGGTGCCGTACGCGCAGCGACGAAGAGTAGGCGGATGGGGAGTAGCTGATGGCAGGCTGGTGCTATGACGGGATGCCCATGACGCGGCGAGCTCGAGTGCAATACGTCGTGGTGAGGCGCGAAGGAAGGCATTGCGCCCCGAGGGAAAGCGGCGTGGTGGAGGCCATGTACATATGGCGTGTACGAAGCTGACGGCAGTGGCGACTGTGAGTCGGGCAAGGACTGTGAGGGTGCCAAGACAATCTTTACCCGACCGTGACGGGGCGTTGAAAGACTGGGGCGGTGGCGGTGGCGGTGGCGTTAGCTGTAGGCATGGTGAGAACAGGGAGTGACGGGGAGTGGGAGCGATGAACGAGCCAGACGACGGGCGGGGGACGAGGACGACTAGGAGGCGGCTGAGACAGGTGGAAAGGGGCTGACAAACCTTGATCCGTGATGGCATCACCACCGAGATCACTGAGACAACCGGGATCACCACCGAACAACCGGGATCAGCACCCCGGTTCTGCGGTTATCCCAATTCCCGGACGCTCTCGGACGTTCACAACATCAACTCGAAATCAAATCCACCGCGCATGTTGCAAGGCTGGGTTCAGGCTTAGTTTCAAAAAGTACAAGAGCGTCAATCCAGTCTCGTAGATTTGTTTGGGAGACCCTCCCACTTGGGCAACCCGTCCGCAACGTCGACGACGCGATTTGTATAGTATATGTGGCTCGTGGGCTTGACCTCCTCCCAGTTGATGATATTGCCATCCTCCCCGTCGCGTTCAAGCCGCGTCCCCCGGACGGCCCAATTTTTCGTGGCGTCGATCTGCGTAGCAGCACAGGTGTAGCATGTCGCACATCTAAACAACACGTAGCCCTCTATCTTTTCCTCGATGGGTGTCACCTCGGCTGCGTGCGTCCATGAAAAAGCCGAGGGCGAATAGTGCATTGCCGCCACGAAAACAGCGCCTCGAGTGACATTAGCAGCGACCACAAGTATGTTCAATTTTTCGGTAATACCATTCGCTCTGAAACCCGTTCAGCAAGCGTCGCGGTTCAACGCCAGCCTTACCTTTGACACTGCGTGCAATGACAATAGACGCTCACTACCGGCTTTGCGGTGAGAGAGTACGAGAGTGAGCCGCAGCGGCAGCTTCCTTTCATGAGAAAGTTGGACATGGCGGCAGGCGCGCGAGTGACTCTTGTTTGTCTCCGACTCGTCGCTCGACGCACGTTCTTCGACGCGTATTTCTCCTGCGATGTGCATACTTACGGTGGATCTCGGCGAAACTCGCCGTTCAATTGTTGCCCCTGTCTTTGCGCTCTCCTTTCCGAGTCATCACCTGTTCTTTATGACGATCTACCCACCTGCATCCCAAACCGCGCCCACCGTTTCCTTTTCCGAGGGCCTTGCGCACACCAAGCAGTCCCGAATCCCGGTGCTAGTGGACGCCATCTGGAGTGCTCTCCTGAGCAATACCAGGCTCGGGAAACAACTTCGCGAGCCATTCTGGTTGCCATTCCGAAATTACAAGGACTACCCAGGCCCCGTTGACGACTCGAGACTCCGGACCTATCTGGCCGCTCTGAAAACTCCCTTTCGCGTCTTTCTCGAAGATGAGACCGAAACCGGTGAGAGGTCAAAGACCATATGCTTCGCCCCTGTAGGCAAATCTCTTCATCACGAACAAATGCCCACCCTATGCTTCACACTGGAGCACGCAGACATCGTTGAAACGGCTCGACTCCGTGTCACTTTGCCTAATTGCTCAGAAGACGACCTCACAGAACTTCGGTACTGTGATTTTGCCACAGTTGTCGCATTTTTTCGTGAATTGTTGCATGTGGTGTGGATGGCGGTCAGTATTCCTTTGACTCTGGCTATTCTTGATCTCACATCAACTTGTTTAGAGCAATCCTATAGAAGCAACATACACCCCAGAAAAATACAAGGAGCTGAAAGGCCGAGGTGAAGGCGTGGAGGGAGTCCATCAATGGTTGTGGAAAACTGTGGTGGAATTCGATTGTATTCTGGATCTCTCCGATTCCAACGGTGCGTTATGTTCTTGCACTACCCTAACCGACTAATGGTCTGAATACAGAGGGTTCCTTGTTTTACAACTCGTGGTATCGCACTCCTGGTGACAACGAGACTCTCAGAGCTGTCTGTTACAGGAATACACATCTCCTGACAAGACAGGGAGTCCACCATGTTTGTCGACTGCTAGAACCCGATGCCGAAGCACCCATCGACAACCCTCCATTCGTTTTCCATGCACTGGAGGAAGCCCGCGTAAAACCTCCGAGTCCGACACCGGCAACTTCGGGAAAGTCTCCATCTCCTTCAGCCTTGAATGCAAGCAATTATCACCTCGTTGGTAAGCCCCCCTTGAGCACAGACGTTTTCCGCCGCCCGAGGACGGTGAAATGCGGTGGTGTCAGGGTGAGTGTTCGGCAGATTTTCCTCCCAGTCGATTAATTCTTGGACAGCGCGTTCGAGGGATGGGCCGTGTACGTGAGATGGTCGACAAACTTCTAGCAGACGACGAGCGCCGGACGAGAAACAAGACTTGAAGGGGGTCTTCTGGATGTGCGCAGAGGAGCGGGTGTGTATACTCCTTAGCCATTGAATTCGAATTTATCGAGCACGCTACACGTTTAGAGGCAGAGTCAATGTAGAGTAGCGATCGTAGCGCTGCGTGAGCTACCTGGCGTCGGGGAGGCTTGGGTTTCAAGAATCCCAAACTTTTCCAAGTCTGCACCATTGGTCTAGACCCTATCGTGCTGGCTGTCGAGTACGAGCGGTGAGGCACACGAACATTGTGCACGTATCGTCTCACGGTAATGGCGGGGAGCGCGAGGTAGCCATGCTCAGGTCACAGATAAGATGTGTCAACTTCGGCGCCCCTTGTACTCCCAAGTGGACTGGGAGCGAAGAGGTTGTCCATGCTGGAGTGCAGAGATGGCCAGGTCACAGCCTTCCATTTTGAGAATTTGAGTAGACGGCCAGACGAACTTCACGAAGATGGGCGTAAGTAACAGAGAATCTCAAATCAGATCAGATCAATCACAACACAAAAGACAGCAATTCATCCACCTTTCTTCAATGCTCTGCCTCAGGCTGGTACAAAGTTCCGCTGGCTCTTCCCATGTTCTTTGCGTCTGAACTGAACAGTGAATCACAATTCTCAGTGTGATGTAGCAGTTTTATGTTGCATCCCGCCATGATCCATCACTCAACCATCACTCAACCATCACCGCCCTCCCCTCCCTCCCCTCCCTCCCTCGTTGCTCCCACTTTGCTCCCACTTCTCCAGACCTATCCTGGCCCTTTCCACCCCTTCCCTCTCATCCTTCCCTGCTGAGCGCCGCCTTCGCAACCAACAAAAACATTTGTGATCACTTGCTTTCCGCACTTCCTCCCGACCTCCCCCTTCTTCCAACTTCTTCCTGGCCTCCCCTCTTCGCCGCTCCGCAATCTCGAGACCCTTACTGAGCAGCGCCACCACAACAAACCACAACACTGTGATCACTCGAACTTTGCGGCCTCCCTGCTTCCTCGCGACCTTCCTCCGACCTCCCCTTCCTCCCTCTCTGCCCCTCCCCCGTTCAGAGAAGGCCCGTTGCTGCCGTCCCGCATAAAATCCTTCCGGAAGGAAGGGGAAAATCTGAAGCTGAATATTTGAGGTATATATTGTGTAGACGTCGACGGTAGCCTGTAACGGTAATTTATACCCGAGTGACTTGGATTTCGGAGCAAGAAAAGGAAGGACTGGAGGCGACAGCAACCGTGTCTAGTTCGAGGAATCAAGTGTTGGAATGCAAAATGATGATGTTGGGCCCTTCCCCGCATGAAATCTTGCCCGAGGGATTGGAAAAAAATTGAAGCCAGCCCGGATTGAACGGACGACCTTGAGGTACCCGTTGATAACTGGAATCTCACGTTCTACCACTGAACTATAGCTCCTGAGGGGGAAGGGGAAAGTCAAGAGGAAGCGGGGAGTCAGTGATCACAATGTTGTTGTGACATCGGTGCTCAGCAAAGGTTACTTCAAATGGGGTGTGCAGAAGGACCAGGATACATGTTGACAAGTGGGAGCAAGGTGAGAGAGCGGGAGGAGCTTTGGGAATGCGCGAACGATGGCGGGATGCTTGATCACACCGCCACATTACGACTGTTCCGCGTTCACGTCGCTTTCCAAATTCCGGCCGAGATGGAATATTCAGATTGAAAGAAGGTCCTGCGCGAGATCGTGCAAGGAGCGTGAAAAACGCGTGAAAGCAAGTAAGCGTGCATTGACTTGAATTGAATTGTTTTCCTTGTGTTGTAATTGATGTGAGATTCTCCGTTCCTACGCCCATCTTCGTCTGGCCGTCTTGTATGTGCCACTCAAAATGGAAGGCTGGGGCCTGGCCGTCTCTGCATGTGCCACTCCAGCATCGACAACTCCGTCGCTACCCCTAGTCCGCTGACACTGGGAGCGCATGGGGTTATTGGCACATCTTGCCCGTTTGCTGCCAGTGAGCTAGCCTTATATTCGACTTGCCAACCAGTTACGCAAAGAACGGGGAGAGGATACCAACTCGAGGGCCGAGGCGGAGAAGAAACGGGAAGACTCGCATCAACCGCAGAATCAAGTCCTGTTTCCCACATGCATGTGACTGACTACTTTCTCGTTCCACTCATGCTCTGCGAGTAGACGGCGTTCCTCAGTTTCTCGGTGTTTTCCTACCATCCCTGGCATCGTCATGGATGCCTCCACTTCGTGTTGGATGGCCGGTCGCCTTTTTGTGTACTATCTGTGAGTATTCTGCGTCCACAAGGTCATCTCTTCTCACCGCTCGCATGCAGATAGATGACCCTAGAGCGCTGGTTCTTGGGAGAAAAAGGTCGGTCAGTCTTGCCTTTGATTCGTTTCATCCTTCTTCATGCTCCTGCAGTCTTTCGTCCTATAGATAACCCGGGAGACAGTTGAATACAATCACAACGCGCCGTTCGCACTGCACGCGTGGGCTTTTTTGGCCAGATTTTCATCTCTACGGATGCTGAGAAAATCAAGTAGTAGCTGGCCAGCTCGCGAAGAAATAGCTACTGAAGAAGATTCTCGTCGGTGAGTAATTCTGTCCCGAATTGATTCCAAAATGCTGAGAGCGAACAGGGGACTTGCAGAGGACTAATACAATAATGTAGCATACTATCTCTGTCTTCGCGTGTCCACCACCGGAATGGCCCAGGCGTCGTTGCCTCCAGTACGGTTTGCAAAAATTAAATAATTGACGATTTGTTGCGTGCCTGAGTTCTACTCGGGTCCCGATGAAGCAGCTGAAAGTCTCGTCGGGGATTACAGAGATCCTTTTGGGGAATCACCGCGAACTTCTACGTCACGTCCAAGAAAGGACAGGTGGGAAACCGTGATTTGGCCCTCTTCCCTTTCCTCGTCCTCCCAATTCATCTTTCTTTCTTTCCTCCCTCCCCATGGCCTCTTCCTCCTCCAAAAGACCTGTAAGTTGGTCGCTTTCGGCTCAAATCCACGCTCATTCCAGCCATTAGCCCGCGAAAGGCGCCCCGGTACAATCCTCCTTTCCTGACGCGTCCCATCTCTAATCCGTGAGCCCCAGGCGCAGCAGACCCGCGTTGCAGGCCCCAGCGTAAGTCAATCTCCCTATATCCAGTGGCCGTGGACTGAAGGACGCATAGAGCGGCTCTTCCTCGACCAGACGGCGCGATGAAGACGCGACAGAGGTGGGAATCCATCCTTTCCCTCTACTTCCATTCATTCTGCTGCGACCAGCTCCCTTCCAAGAGGACGAAGGTTGTAGGGATTGAGAAGGTGTGTTCTTCTCTGCGCGTCAAACTTCCTTTTTCATTGAATATATGCGCAGGAAAATCATCAAGCCGACGACGCTGACGATTGGGAAGACCAAGAGTCTTCTGGGGACGAGGAAGACGACGAGGCACCAAAGTCCCGGTCCAAGGTGAGTATTCATCACTCCCGATCTTTCTCGTCCCTCATGAGCATCAGGGTAAAGGACGGGCGGTCTCGAAACCGGCCAAGGGTGCAGCCAAGGCCAGAGGCACGAAGCGACGCGTAAGTTTCTCTGCTCAAGCCTTGCATCCACGACGCTCAAATCATCCAGCAGTCCTCGGAAAGCAAGTCCGCGCCGGTGGTAAAACCCATCCCTTTCGCCAATCCGCCGCAGTACTCATTCTTCGTCCCCAGTCCAAGAAAATCCGCGTCAGAGGCACCGATGTAATTTGATTTCGCTCTTTTCAGGCGTAGTAAACTCACGGCCACGTAGAGTGCTGCCTCGGTTCCTGTCGCAAGTACTTCGAAGCGAAAGCGCGCGGAAGTGGAGTCCGACGAGGTATGTCTTTCGACGTTCTGCAAATGTTGTTCTCATGTATGCGCAGGACGGGGACGATGACTGGGACGCGAATGACGAAGAAGACGAGTCTGCAGGCGAGGACGAACCAGAGGAAGATGAGGACGATGAAGGTGCTTGCAAGGTAAGACTTCCTTGATGCCATTCCCGTTTTTTCCAACATTTCTTGCAGAAGGTACCCCGGAAGAAAAAGCAAAAGATTGAGAAGCCGACAAGTTCTGATAAAGATGCGGTCAATGTGCGTTTTCCCCTAGCTGCGATGCCTGTCCATCCTGACTGTTCTGTCGCAGGCGAAACGGCGAGAACAAAATGTAGCAAAAGCCAAAGTGAATCCTGAAATCGCGGAGGCGAAGCGTTGGGCAAAGGGACAAGAACGCACCGACGTGATCGTCCGTGTGTGGGGGTCCGTCTTTAACCATCACGTGGCATCCAAGACCGGCGTCGTCGATTGCGTTGACCGCAGCCAACATCTTTCCGCTCGCGAACTCGTGCAAGCAACGGTGAACGCGTATTTTGTTCGTGAGGGCCACGAGCAAATTCCCGCTACTGAAGCTGTCTGGAAGGAGTTTCCCGACCCGGTGATGGAAATGTTTGGGGCGATAGTCAAGGATCCCTCGGGCTGGGACCCTCGGCCGTTCATCAAAGACAAGATCCTGGTTGAAAGCAAGGCCGACGGCCCCTCTCCTGTCAACAAATGTGCCCATTATATCCGGCTCATCCGTCTCCGCACTGAAGAGGTGTTCCGAGCGCTGCGGGCGTACCTGGACGCGTACCCCGCTGAAGCACCCTCCACGGTCATCCGTCTTTTGCTGCTCGGCGAAGACCTGGCAGACGTCTTCCGCGACTTTACTGCCACGATGAAAGTCTTTGGCCTCGAAGACGCCATCGCCCAGTTTTGCAAACACGTCGAGGAGAACGCAGGTGCTACTGTGCTACGAGGCGCGCGACGCGCTGGGAAGCAGATTACCCTGGGCTACACCGGCATCAGCGCTGTCAAGGCGCCTGGTGCACGAGTGGTCGACGACATCCTGAATAGGAGCCCTGTGTTTATAATCAACTTCCTCAAGTCCAACCCGGAACTGGAATCAAAGATCGTGACATACGATATCCCCGACATCGCGGTCAACGTCCCAGACGAACGCGCCGTTCGCACCACTCCTCGGATCAGTCAACAAGAGCGAATCATCCGTGCCATGCTGGGACCGACGGCGCTGAATTCTGCTCCGGGTGGCGTTCAGCCGATTTTCCTCGTGCCGCCGGAGATCACTCGGTACCTCGACGCTTTGCGCGAACTTCTCCCAGCGGATCTCTTTCCTTTCGGGCAAGAAGAGAATCATGATTTGAGCGAGAGGCTGTCTGCCTTCATCGACGACGAGCTCGAGACGCTCACGGGTCCCACCAACTCGGAACCCTCCAACACCCTCTGCATCTCCGACTCGGCTTTGGCCCAGGTCAAGAGCAACATTGCAGATGTTGTCAGACTCTGCAAAGGCGAGGTTGGTACTGTCGAGATAATAAAAGATATCAACCTCGAGGCCATGATCGGTGAAGCTGGGTACTGGCCCTCGCGAAGACCGTCATCTTCGCCATCTCTTCTATCCCAACATCCCGATGACGGGCACCCTTTCCACCGATACTCTCGCGCAGTACGTTGGCCCGTACGTCGATTTCTGGCGCCTCGTACTTGAACACGACGAGTACTGGCTCCACGCCATCTATCTTTCCCGTATTCTTATCGAGATGTCCCCCCTCATAATCACCACCCAGTCCACCCCTGTTGCTGCCGCACTCAAAGCCCGTCACCTTGTCGAGGTGTGGACATACTTCGGAGACGACGGCCACGCCGCTTTCATGGACGGTGTTTCCCCGCCTGATTTTCGTCGTCGCTTTCCTCGAGGTCGTGGGCCTTCCCTGCAGGGCGCACAGTTCAACGACATGGTGGGCGAGATGTGCATCGTCCGGTTTGGCCCGAATACAGCGCACATCGCCATTTGGATCGTCAAGCTCCATTTCGGGAGCTTCAAGTACGACCCCGTACTCGCTGGTCCGCGGTGGACAGTCATGTGCCATACCCGTGCTGTAGAGGAAACGGCTCAACGCGTGGTCTCGACGGCCTTGCGCAACTCTCCTCCTGACCTTCAAGACCCGTCGACGCGCGAAACGTGGCTCAACACATGTATCGAGGAGGCACGTCGGCTGTTGGCCAAGGACGGCGTGCTCGAGAACCTCCAGAAGGCGAAGGCGGTGTTGAGGGATATGGAACAAACCTATGGCTTTCTACGTTCCATCATCTCAGCGAAGACGATGCACGATCGTTGGTTGGAGAGTGAGGACCGTGGAGGGATGGATCGGCCGCGAGGGGAGCTGACCGCACCCAAGGGTGAAGCCCGGCAGGCTCAGATGGAGCGGCTTTTGGCCAAGCATAATGACGCCATCAGCTTCGGCGGCTTTCCCCTCTACGGCAACTACAGGTACCCGATGGGTACCCTTGCTTGGCAAACAAGGTTCCTTTGTCTCGACGACGACGTCGACATCGTGCGCTCTGCCAACACTCGTGGTCGGAGCGCAGAAGCCAACGATCGG